TTCTTTCTTTCTTTCTTTTCTTTCTTTCTTTCTTTCTTTCCTCCTTCCTTCCTTCCTTCCCTTCCTCCCTCCTCTCTCTCTCTTTCTTTCTCTCTTTCTCTCTTTCTTTCTTTCTGTCTTTCTTTCCTTCCTTCTTTCTTTCTGTCTCTCTTTATTTCTGTCTCTCTCTCTCTCTCTCTCTCTTTCTTTTTCTTTTTTTGATTATCGCCCTGTCACCCAGGCTGGAATGCAGTGGCGCGATCTTGGCTCGCTGCAACCTCTGCCTCCCAGGTTAAAGCAACTCTCCTGCCTCAGCCTCCCGAGTAGCTGGGACTATAGGCACGTGCTACCACGCCCAGATAATTTTTGTATTTTTAGTAGAGATGGAATTTTACCATGTTGGCCAGGCTGGTCTCCAACTCCTGACATCGTGATCACCTGCTTCAGACTCCCAAAGTGCTGGGATTACAGGGATGAGCCACCGTGCCCGGCCCGCCTGTCTTCCTTTCTTGTGCTGTGAGAGTTATCTCACCTCAGAACTGGCTACTGAAGCAGTATTCCTTATGTTTTTACTAGTATCCATTTTCATTTTATTATTAATTGTAGTGTGTGTCACCCAAAGACAGGAACAGCCAAGTGTTTTCAGGTTACCTAACTGTAGGGCAAGGCTGTTTTGCACATGCTTTAGCCAAGGCGGGCACTCAGCTTAGGGACCAGCTGTGTATCTGTAAGGGTCTTTGCTGTGTGTCTCTGAGACTGCATTTGGCTATTGACACATGTATGGGACAGAGAGTACACGTGTGTTTTGTGGCATGTTTGGGCGGCGGCAGGGTAACAGCAGTGGATGGCAGCTGACTGGCCCTGCTCTGAGAGGAACATTGAGCACTCATCCTTGGGATGTGGGGAGGGCAGACCTAGGATGCCCCCACAGGCTGGGCCTGACAGACCCCACTGGGACTGGCCTACTCCCCAGGACGGCTGGAACATCCTCAACTTCATTATCGTCTTTATCTTGCTCTTGCGGTTCTTCATTAATGAAATCAATATCCCCTCCATCAACTATACTCTCAGGTGAGCTGGGAGCTCTGGAGAAATGAGGGGAACCTATCTGGAACCCAGGAATGAGCTGGGGGGATAATGACCAGATGGAGATCAGCTTTGCCTCTCTGGGCAGCTGGTGGGGGTAATGAGGAGGGAGGGGGCTGGGAAGGGCCTAGGGGCACCCCTGAGAGGCTCTGCCACAGGGCGCTTCGTCTGGTGCATGTGTGCATGGCGGTGGAGCCCCTGGCCCGGATCATCCGCGTCATCCTGCAGTCAGTGCCTGACATGGCCAACATCATGGTCCTCATCCTCTTCTTCATGCTGGTCAGTGCCTGTCCCCGCCCCCATCTGTTTCCCTTCCCTGAATAGGGCCCTTGGGTCATTGCGAATAGAGGGGTGTCTGGACGAGCAGAGAGGCCCGTGGGCCTGAATCCCTGTGATTTCCTTGGCAGCGTTCATTTGCATGACATTCGCGTGTCCTATTTCCAGGTCCTTTGGTGAAGTTGGGGTGGGGCTCTGTTCTCTCTGACAGGTTTTTTCGGTGTTTGGGGTAACACTCTTTGGTGCATTCGTGCCCAAGCATTTCCGGAACATACAGGTTGCGCTGTACACCCTCTTCATCTGCATCACCCAGGATGGCTGGGTGGACATCTACAGTGACTTCCAGTGAGTGCCGGTGGGACTTCCAGTCTCAACCCACCTGTGGGGCAGGGAAGCCGGTGAGAGTGGGAGCTCCAGGGACTGGGATGAGGATGGCCCAGTGGAAGCAGGAGTTCCCAGGTCTTTAAACAGAGGAAAAGGAAATACCTGGGCTTGTGGTACCTCAAGCCTTGTCGCCCTTGAATCTCCATACATTCAGAGTCCCATTCCGACCCTTTTGTGGGGACCTCAGCTAACCTCAGCTAACCAGCTGGGTAGTTGGCCTTGGATAGGGGAGCAGGTCTGTAGTTATGCCTCAGGTTACAGAGCAACCTCCCAGCCCACCTTGGAGCCCACCAAACTGCCTGAACTCCTGGGAACTTCAGGTCTCATTTTATTCATTCTGAAACCCATTGCCCACATTCATTTTTGTGTTCTGTTCTTTAGCTCTTTTCCATTAAGTCTAAGCCCTATTTCTTTCCAGTTTACTTCAGAAAGTGGGACCCCCTTAACTGATTTCTTTTTATCTTCTACATGTGAGTATAGAAGCCCAGTAGATAAAGGGCTTCTACGGTCATTCTCCATTATGACGTAGATAATGGATAAAAATCAGGCTGGCTGGGGCTGGGCGCGGTGGCTCACACCTGTAATCCCAGCACTTTGGGAGGTCGAGGCGGGTGGATCATGAGGTCAGGAGATCGAAACCATCCTGGCTAACACGGCGAAACCTCGTCTCTACTAAAAATACAAAAAATTAGCCAGGCGTGGTGGCGGGCACCTGTAGTCCCAGCTGCTCGGGAGGCTGAGGCAGGAGAATGGCATGAATCCAGGAGGCAGAGCTTGCAGTGAGCCCAGATCACTCCACTGCACTCCAGCCTGGGCAATAGAGCAAGACAGTCTAAAAAAAAAAAAAATCAGGCTGGCCGGACATGGTGGCTCATGCCTGTAATCCCAACACTTTGGGAGGCCAAGGTGGGCAGATCATGAGGTCAGGAGATCAAGACCATCCTGGTTAACACAGTGAAACCCCATCTCTACTAAAAATACAAAAACAAAGTGCAGTGGCTCACACCTGTAATCCCAGCACTTTGGGAGGCTGAGGCGGGTGGATCACAAGGTCAGGAGTTCAAGACCAGCCTGGCCAAAAAGGTGAACCCCATCTCTACTAAGTATACAAAAATTAGCCAGGCGGGGGGGCACCTGTAATCCCAGCTACTCAGGAGGCTGAGGCAAGAGAATTGCTTGAACCTGGGAGGTGGAGGTTGCAGTGAGCTGATATCGCACCACTGCACTCCAGCCTGGGTGACAGAGTGAGACTCCATCTCAAAAAAAAAAAAAATTAGCCGGGCGTGGTGGCAAGCACCTGTAGTCCCAGCTACCTGGGAGGCTGAGGTGGGAGAACGGCGTGAACCCGGGAGGTGGAGCTTGCAGTGAGCCGAGATCGCGCCACTTCACTCCAGCCTGGGCAACAGAGCGAGACTCCGTCTCAAAAAAAAAAAAGGAGTGTAGCTAATAGATTAAACTTAATAGTGTTGATGTGCATGTCCCCACCTTGCAGGGTTGGTTAGAGAATCAGCCCACTGTCTGGCAGCACAGCAGGTGCTTAGTAGAGAGCAGCTATTGAGACAGGAGTAGGGAATGAGATCTGCACAACAGCAGTGACACAGGCAGAAGTCCTAGTAGGCCTTGGGATGATTTTCCCATTTCATAGATAAGGAAACTCAGGCTCGAAGGGCCAGGGAAATGATGGGGCCCCTGCCTGCCATCTGCAGGACAGAGAAGAGGGAATATGCAATGGAGATTGGGGGTGCCATCTACTTTACCATCTTCATCACCATCGGTGCCTTCATTGGCATCAACCTGTTCGTCATCGTGGTGACCACCAACCTGGAGCAAATGATGAAGGCAGAAGAGCAGGGACAACAGCAACGAATAACCTTTAGTGAGGTGCGTGGGATGGGGAGGGCAGAAGGGAGGAAAAGAGGTGTGTATGAGAGCAGACTTAAACATATGTGCATGTATGTGTGTGCTTGCATAATCAAGGGCCTGGAGAAAGCCAAGTTGGAGGCCTGGAGGCAGCAGCCCCCCATCTTGAGTGCCCACCCACCCACCAACTGGGGCTTCTGAGGGGTGTGGATTTTCTAGATGTTAGATTTCTATGGCAACTCAAAACTGAGCAGCTGGGTGACCTTGGGGCATTTACCCATCTAAGCCTCAATTTTTTTCTTCTGTAAAATGGGAATAATAATAGTACTTAACTCATAGGGTTATTTTATGAGGGTTCATGGGTAAATGAACACTGCTTGGTGCATAGTAAGCACTCAGTAAATGTTAGCTACCTTATTATTCATTCAGGGTAGTACTTCCATAAGGTTGGGGAAAGGAGTGGAGTACTTCTAAAAAAGTGGAGTGCTGGAGGCCTGGGCTTGAGGGTAGGCAGAGCTTTATAAATTTGCTGGGTAGGGTTTATCAGGGTTGAAATCTGGGTCAGGGCTAAATTTTGACAAGGGGTGAGAATTTTTAAAGAAGTGGGGGAAGGGCATGTACATTTAAAGTTGGGTTCCTCCAGCAAGGCAATAAGGCTAAGACCGGTGAGAGCTGAAATGAGGGCCTTAGAACCCTGGGATCCTACGAGACTCATCCTGAAGCCAAGCAGGAAAGGAGTGCCAGGGGCGCGCCTGCCTGAGCTGTCCTGACCCCTCTCCATCTCCCGATTCCCAGACAGGCGCAGAGGAAGAGGAGGAGAATGACCAGCTGCCACTGGTGCACTGTGTGGTCGCCCGCTCGGAGAAATCTGGTTTCCCCCAGGAACCCCTTGTGGGAGGCCCCCTGTCGAACCTCTCAGAAAACACGTGTGACAACTTTTGCTTGGTGCTTGAGGCAATACAGGAGAACCTGAGGCAGTACAAGGAGATCAGAGATGAACTCAACATGTAGGGGAGGGTACTGGGGGTGCCCCCAAGTCATGTGAGTCAAGGCTGGGTGGAGTGTCAGAGTCTTTTGGCCTCACACCCTCACCATTTTAGAAGCCAGACTCTGGGCCCTAGAGAGGTCCCCCACCCTATTGGTGGAGGAGCTGGAATCCAGACTCCGAGTTCCTCCCATCTCACACAAGGGCATAGCTCGGCCTGGGTCTCTGTCAGGGCTGTGTGGGAGAGCGAAGGAAGCGGGGGTGATGCCAGGGAAGAGGTGGGAGGGCTGCTTCCCTCCCCTGCAGCCTTCTGAAAGGCACTCACTGCTCCACCCCCAGGATTGTGGAGGAGGTGCGCGCAATCCGCTTCAACCAGGAGCAGGAGGCAGAGGTGATGCAAAGGCAGTCTTCCACGAGCGGGTCATTGGAGACTACGTCATCCAAGGACGTCCGCCAGATGTCTCAACACCGAGACTTGCTCAGTGCGCTCGTTAACATGGAAAAGGTGTGCCTTCCTTCTCCTACCCAATCAGTACTCCCCCTGACACTCCACCCAGGTGCAAATGCCCAGCCAGGCCTCTGGACCATTTGTCAAAGTTTCTGTCTATTCCAAGATCTGGTCCCCTTCACCACCACCACCCCACTTTTTTTTTCTTTTTTCTTTTCTTTCTTTTCTTTCTTTTTTTTTTGAGATGGAATCTCACTCCATCGCCCAGGCTGGAATGCAGTGGCGTGATCTCGGTTCACTGCAATCTCTGCTGCCTGGGTTCAAGTGATTCTCCTGCCTCAGCCTCCCAAGTAGCTGGGATTACAGGCACCTGCCACGGCACCTGGCTAATTTTTGTAGTTTTAGTAGAGACAGGGTTTCACCATCTTGCCCAGGCTGGTCTTGAACTCCTGACCTCATGATCCACCCTCCTCGGCCTCCCAAAGTGCTGGGATTACAGGCATGAGCCACCGCGCCTGGCTGTCTGCTTCTTAAATTTCCGCCTACCCCAACTGTCACTGCCTATCTGGTTAGGTTTTGTACTTTCTTTCTCGGAGTGGCTCCCCCCTTCCAGCCGGTTTCATCTCTAGCACCTTCAAACCTACCCTTTCTTAGTGTGTGTGGCATGAGCCAGCTCAGTGCCTGCCTAGTGGCAGACACTTAGGCTGTAAGTATACTGTGGGCACAGGACCCCAGGATCCTATCTAAAGTGCATAAAACCAGCTGCCTCCAGAGCTCCTGGAGAGAAAAAGGCACACACCCATGTTACTTAGTTTCTTTTTCTACCCTGACACCATCTGCGTGGGATACACCCTGGGCTCCCAAACTCAGAGGGGATACTAGGTAGGCTCAAGTTAGACCTATGAAGAACTTCCTGGGAGGCCTGACTGAGGAAGCTGGTGAGACTGGAGGAGGTGAGTAAGGGAGTCTGCCATATCAGGGGAGGGGGATTAACAAGAAGACCTCTTGGTTTGCAGGTTCATGACTCTAGCTCACAAATACTCCTTAAAAAACGCAAGAACAGCCATTGAGAGGCCAGGATGGGAGCCAAGGGGCCTGCACACACACACCCAGCCGCTGCGTCTTCCTGTGTCCTTAGTGTGGCTTGGCAGAGCCTGGCCAGAGCCCATCCTCTCCCTTACACCTGGGCAGAGGCCAGGGGCTGTGAAGGTGGCAGCACCTGCAGGGCTGGTGCCTGTGAGCCCCAGGTCCAGAGGAGCCAGGACAGAGAAGGATGCTGGATGATGAGAGTGGGAACTCTAGCAGCAAGGATGAGCACAGAAGCGGGTGCTGGCCAACGCAGCCAGGATTTGACCTAAGGATGGGGATCCCTGGCCCCCTGCTCTTGCCCAGAGGTGGTGGGGGGCCTCAGTGGGCCCCAGCACCAAGAAGAGAAAGGCAAGGCCAGTGGGGCCAGACATCTGTGTGTTGACAATAAAGTTTTGTGTTGGCATCAATGTCTCTGACTGGTGGTCACCAGCTCCTTGGGGTACTTGCCCGGGTCTGACAGGGAAGACAGATTTTGCCCCTTAAAATCCCATTTGTCTGGTGGGAGAGTCACAGACTGCCCTGAAGAGCCTCCAGTCTAATGGGAGGGAGAATTGCACCCCTAAAAATTTCTGACTTAATTGTAGAGATATAACCTTTGCCCTCAGGGTCCTAAGCTTTGCGGAGGAAAGTCTGGTCCTCATGGGAGGGAGCCCCTGTCTGATGAAGGAGATGGCCCTACCTGCTCTCTCCCTGTCTGAAGATGGAGACTGGTCCTCACTCTGGGGAGCCCTTGTCTGATGGGATCACCAATGACCAAGTCACACAAGTACAGGCAGCTCCATCCCAGGGCAATGGAGAGTGACTGGTTAAAGTGTGGGACCTGGCAGCTTCCTGGAGGACAGGAGGATTTTGTGGGTCAGGTGAATGAAGTCTGATAGGGAACTTAGGACCCGTGAAGCCTATTTGGGATCTTCATACTCAAGGCCTTTGAGAGCCTCAGCAGGTATGCAATCTGGGGACAGTCAGAAAACTGTGGCAATTATGGGCAATAGAAAGAGCTGCCTTAGAGGACAGGAAACCTGGGTCCTGGTCCTTCAGTGGGTCACTTGGCCTTGTTTTCCCCATCTGTGCAATTGGGAGAGGGTGAGATTGATCTCCATCTCTAAAATCAAACAATACCCTCTTATCCCAGGAAGTGGAAGACCAATGGGATCAGCTATGTCCCTGGGATGCAGGTGTGGGGGGATAGCCTAGAAGGCCTGGACATCTGCCTGCTGTTCAGCGAAGCCTGACACTTAGGGGCCGTGGCGATATCCAACAGTTGGAATGGGAGTCCCCAGAGGTCCACTGATTGCAGCTGATGGGAAACCCTACCCCCCAATCCTCCTCCCATCAGCATTGGTTCCAGCTCTGAAAAGCCACTCAGCAGGCAGATAAGAGGCAGCACCAGAGCCAGCAGTGCCTTACTGTCTTGGAGCCGTTAATCTATTCCCCTGTTCAAGCCAGGACTTCTTCCCGGCACCCTCCAGGACCATCAGCAGCACAGATAAGGGCACCCAGAGGCTTTTGCTGCTGCTGTTGCTACTTACTGGGGATGGCGCCCTTAACCTGCCTGGTGAGTATCTACACTATCTTTACACCCATCCTTCTCTGGGGGCTCTCTCAGCCCCTCTTCTTGCTGGCCAGAGCGGGAAGAAGGTGGCAGATCAGATGGTGTCTTCAGGAGAAGCTAACAGTTTGACCATGGCGATTCTTTACCCCTAATTGTCTGAAAGATTCGGAGCATCAATGAGCTTAGAGGCAGGAGCATGGCAGGATGACCTCCATGGAGTTCCTGGCCTTGACCATCTATCTCTTCCAGGATGCTATTTTGTCTATCTACTCCCTTCATCTTGTTCGTTATCTCATCATCTCTGCCTTTGTCTTTCCCATCCTGGCCAACCTAATAGCCTGGAGTGTCAGCAGGCTAGTTCCTTCCCAAACTGGCCTGGAACTGAGGACCTAGGAAGTCATACTCCCTTCCCCTTCCCTACTGCAGCAAAGAGCAACTGCCACTCCCCATGTCTTACTGAGCCTGAGTTAGGAGTGCAGCCCTGGATTCTGAGCTCCTAGGACAGTATGGGGGAAGATATTGGGAGGTAGCTGGAAATTGTGGGTCTCATCACCCCTATGGTCTCACCTGATGGGTTTCCCATCAGCTACAATCAGTGGACCTCTGGGGACTCCTATGAATCCATAACTTTTACCAGGGATAGGAGCATCCTTGGCAAACTGTCCAGGAAGCAGACACCAATTCTGATGAGAGGAGCAGCAGGGGATAATCATTCCCAATAGCAGGTCTACTCATTGAGTAGTTACTAGGTGCTAAGCACGGTGCTGAGTGCTTCACACACAGTATTTCATCCTCATGACCATCAGTGAAGTAGGCAGTACTGTCATCCCTGTTTCACAACTGAGGAAACTGAGGCTCAGAGACATGAAGTGATTTCTATGTTCCCCCTGTCCCTGTGGGGGACTTATTCTCCATTACAAAACTGAGATGCTAACCCAGGTCTGACTCCAGAGCCCAGGTTACACTTCTCAAGGGAGCTTCTCTGGGCAGGAAACCTCAATATCAGAAAGATGTCAATCCACACTGAATCTATAATTGCAGGGCACCTCCAATCACAATTCCAACAGGTTGCTTGCAGAAATTGTTAAGCTGATCCTAACATATGTAAGGAAGAACAAAAGGCCAAGGATAGTCAAGATAATTTTTTTTTTCTTTTTTGAGATGGAGTTTTGTTGTTGTTGCCCAGGGTGGAGTGCAATGGCGCGATCTTGGCTCACTGCAATTTCCGCCTCCCAGGTTCAAGCAATTCTTCTGCCTCAGCCTCCCGAGTAGCTGGGAGCACAGGCATGTGCCACCGTGCCCAGCTAATTTTTTGTATTTAGTAGAGATGGGGTTGCACCATGTTGGTCAGGCTGGTCTCGAACTCCTGACCTCAAGTGATCCACCCACCTCGGCTTCCCAAAGTGCTGGGATTACAGGTGTGAGCCACCGTGCACGGCCTGTCAAGATAATTTTGAAGCCCGAGATGGGAGACTCACCTTACCAAATATTGAGGCTTACTATAAAGTAACAGTAAGATAATGTGGTATTGGTTGGGGGAAATACGGACTTTTCTATAAGGGGGCAGGGATAATTTATTAACTACATGGAAAAAACATAAAGTCAGATTCAGTGGAAACATCCCTTTCTGCAAATAAAAACTTGAGACCCCTATAGCAAGACACATAGGTTCAGTTCAAACTAGATCTTTGTTGCAAACGGACCCCACAGATGACTAGAGTTTAGAGTGCTCCTCCACATTGAGCCAGGTCCTCATTATGCTGAGAGGAACATGAAGGCTGAGGGAGAGGTGAGACCTTCCCCAGCGTCACCCAGCAAGCCAGTAATAGAGCCAGGTCTAGAGCCTACGTCCCCCTACCCTTTCCAAGCATCCTTGCCAGTTCCCCTGCCCTGTTACAATCCCTTAGCTCTGCACAGGGCTAGAAGAAAGTGGGTGTGGGACCGGGCAAGGTGGCTCATGCTTACAATCCCAGCACTTTTAGAGGCCAAGGCAGGAGGATTGCTTGAGGCCAGGAGTTTGAGAGCATTCTGGGTAACACAGTGAGACCTCATCTCTACAAAAAATAAAAACAAGACCGGGTGCAGTGGCTCACGCCTGCAATCCCAACACTTTGGGAGGCTGAGGGGGGCAGATCACGAGGTCAAAAGATCGAGACCATCCCGGCCAACATGGTGAAACCCCGTCTCTACTAAAAAAATTTAAAAAAATTAGTTGGGCATAGTGGCACGTACCTGTAGTCCCAGCTACTCAGGAGGCTGAGGCAGGACACTCTGTCTTCAAAAAAAAAGAAAAAAAGAGAGAAAAGAAAAAAATCAGCTGGGTGTGGTGGCATGCGCCTATAGTTCTAGCTACTCGGGAGGCGAAGGCGGGAGAATCGCTTGAACCCAGGAGGTGGAGGTTGCAGTGAGCTGAGATTGTGCTACTGCACTCCAGCCTGGTGACAGAGTGAGACTCTGTCTTAAAAAAAAAAAAAAAAAAAAATCAGGTGGGTGTGGTGGCGCATACCTGTAGCCCTGGCTACACAGGAGGCTGAGGCAGGAAAATTGCTTGAACCCAGGAGGCAGAGGTTGCAGTGAGCTGAGATCGCACCACTGTACTCCAGCCTGGTGACAGAGTGAGACTGTGTCTCAAATAAATAAATAAATAATAAAAAGAAAAATGTCAGTCAAGTGTGGTGGTGCGCACCTGTAGTCCCAGCTACTCTGGAGGCTGAGGCAGGAGGATCACATGAGCCCAGGAGTTTGAGGCTGCAGTGAGCCATGATTGCACCACTGCACTCCAGCCTGAGCGACTGAGACCCTGTCTCTAAAAAAAAGTGAGGGTGTGGATGGTGCCAGAAAGGATCTGTCCCAACAGGGTTGGGGACAAGGGTTGGTGCATCTTCAGAATTAAGTGATGGGAAGGACAAAGAATGAGCCTGCTACTTGGCTGGGTCACTTCCAATTTTCTTTTTTTTTTTTTTTAGACTGAGTTTCACTCTTGTTGCCCAGGCTGGAGTGCAATGGCATGATCTTGGCTCACTGCAACTGCTGCCTCCCGGGTTCAAGCAATTCTCCTATCTCAGCCTTCCAAGTTGCTGGGATTACAGGTGTGTGTCACCACGCCTGTCTAATTTTGTACTTTTTGTAAAGACGGGGGTTTCATCATGTTGGTCAGGCTGGTCTCGAACTCCTGACCTCAGGTGATCCTCCCATCTCAGCCTCCCAAAATCCTGGGATTACAGGCGTGAACCACCATGCCTGGCCAGCCTCTGATTTTCTGAATTAGCCTTTTGAAAACTGCCAAGAGGCTGGACACAGTGGCTCACACCTATAATCTTAGCACTTTAGGAGGCTGAGGCGGGTGGATCATTTGAGGCCATGAGTTCGAGACCAGCCTGGCCAACATGGCAAAAACCCATCTCTACTAAAAACACAAAAATTAGCAGA